GGAGGAGGACGAGGAGGACGAGGAGGAGGACCTCCCCATCCTCCCTCCTCCCCCGTCACTGTAGGTGTTGCGATCTGTGTCCAAAGCGCCCAGAAATACGTAAGCAGTCGCACAACACATGTCCTCAGGATTGCTCCTCCTCCTCCTCCTCCTCCTCCTCCTCCTAGTCCTCCACCTCCTCCTCCTCCCCCTCCTCCTCCCCCTCATCCCCCCCTCATACGAATATGTCTTCCCTCTTGCTCCACGCGTCTCAGGCGGCACACTGCATCAACACACAAATTGAGTACGATACAGCCACGACTGATCGCAAAGACGCGCGATAAAGATGCGAGCCCCAGGGCTCGAGCTCGGGCTTGGTTTTTGTTTTGCTTTCGTGCTCCCTTGTTATGTCTTCGTCCTACTTGTGCTGCGAAACGAAATCAAAACGAAAGCGGTCCACGCAAGCGCCAAAGCGCCTCTAGCTCGAGCCCTGCGCCTTGTTTTCGAGCGGGGCTGGCCATCGAGAGTGGGCAAGGATGGGCCGAAGAGGCAAGGATGCCAGGGTGCCCTTGGCAAGGTGGCCCACTGGCCATCGCTCGGACGTCCATTCCGTGTTTTTTCGGTTTCGTGCGTGGTTCTTTTTGCCAAGTGATCAAGGATGCTCCTCGATGGTCCTCGCCGAAGGAAAAATGCACACGTCCGAGCGATGCCAAGCCCATCCTCATCGCCGATTTCGATCGCAAGGGTTTGGCGCCGGATGACACAGCGACCCTTTGCCGCGACTTACACGGGCCACCAGCGCGGCACGCTGCATTGGAAGCGAAGGCGCCGAAACGCGACCTTGCGTGGGCAGCCCTCCTACAGGCGAACCGTGGAATAATAATGAAACAAATATATAGTCCAAACATGCTCAAACATGGTTAAACAAGTAGTCGAACAATCGTCCCCTGACTATGTTTCAACCATTGTTGAATGCTCCTCCTGTGGAGGGACCTGCCCGACTGAAGCCTGCGCGCGACCTTGCGCGGGCAGCCCATGTCCGCGCAGTCGACCCCGTCGTCTTTCCGCTGCCCAGGTGGTGGCGACTGCAGGTCCGGCGGCAGCTCGCGTGGGCGCTGAGCTTCTACATTTGGGCGCTCGGAGATGCCTTTGGAGCACGTGCGCAGCACCGCGCGCGGGGAAAAAAGGAGAGAGGGAGGGAGGGCGGCGAGGCATCAGGCAGCCGACGGATGGTGAACGTTTTCTTCTTCGCGTTTCGACATTGGGCGGAGGTGGGAGGGGGGGGGAGTCTGGCGCCGGACCTCTGCTGAATGCGACTGCTTGCAGCCGTGCGTGCTATGGGGGAGACTCCACCTGCTCGAAGCAGGCGCCCAAAACAGCCAAGATCTACTCGAAGCAGGCGCCAGAACTCGGAGGGCCCGCGCCGATCGGCAAAACCATGGATCGGAAAACGATCACCAGACCGCGGCTGCCCGACGCCCTACAGTCGGGGCGTTGACCTAAGGAACCCTAAATCCGCCGGCCCCCTTGTGGGGCCACCAGGCTGTAGGCGCGAGGTTCGCAGTTTCCTGTACCAGTTGTAGCTTGTAGTTTCCAGTGTTACAGTTCTGCTTCTTGCTGGTTACTGTAACTAGTTGACTTATTGCTGGTTACTGTAACTAGTTGATTGACCGCGCGAGGGGGGGGAGGCCCAAACCGGCTTTTTAGCACCCCCTGGGCGCGTTGTCTGAATTGCTGGGGGGGCTCGAAATCGACACCCCTCACGCAGATCCGCGGGGTCAGGGTCCAAAAACACATGGGATTTGCCACATTTCTGAAATTCGGTGCCACCCCTCACGCAGATCCGCGGGGTCAGGGTCCAAAAACACAAGGGATTTGCCACATTTCTGAAATTCGGTGCCACCCCTCACGCAGATCCGCGGGGTCAGGGTCCAAAAACACACGGGATTTGCCACATTTCTGAAATTCGGTGCCACCCCTCACGCAGATCCGCGGGGTCAGGGTCCAAAAACACACGGGATTTGCCACATTTCTGAAATTCGGTGCCACCCCTCACGCAGATCCGCGGGGTCAGGGTCCAAAAACACATGGGATTTGCCACATTTCTGAAATTCGGTGCCACCCCTCACGCAGATCCGCGGGGTCAGGGTCCAAAAACACATGGGATTTGCCACATTTCTGAAATTCGGTGCCACCCCTCACGCAGATCCGCGGGGTCAGGGTCCAAAAACACAGGGATTTGCCACATTTCTGAAATTCGGTGCCACCCCTCACGCAGATCCGCGGGGTCAGGGTCCAAAAACACAGGGGATTTGCCACATTTCTGAAATTCGGTGCCACCCCTCACGCAGATCCGCGGGGTCAGGGTCCAAAAACACATGGGATTTGCCACATTTCTGAAATTCGGTGCCACCCCTCACGCAGATCCGCGGGGTCAGGGTCCAAAAACACATGGGATTTGCCACATTTCTGAAATTCGGTGCCACCCCTCACGCAGATCCGCGGGGTCAGGGTCCAAAAACACAGGGGATTTGCCACATTTCTGAAATTCGGTGCCACCCTTCACGCACATCCATCGCAAGGCGTGGTAACCCAAACTGCGAGAACTCCCTCGGCCCTTTAATCGCAAGGTGTGGTAACCAAGCCCGTAAACCATACACGTCTTACCAATCGCCAGGTGTGGTAACCCCTCTTGTGATCAGTTGGTTTTGCTGATTGCGAATCGGCTTCGCATGAAGTTTCGATACTGCTTCACGACAGCACCAAGGCCTGACTTTTCCATGGCCCATTCTCCGAGAGAGGGGGCCGGCGGCAGGGGGCGAAGCCCTTACGGATAAGGAACGAGGCCCCTTTTTTCCATCAGATCTACTTCTGTTTCCCATGGAAAACCTTAGAAAAACCCGTGGCAGGCTGTAAAGCGATAGAGGAACACCGAGCCCCTCCCCAACGAGAAGGGTTCCTTCTTCAGCGCCCCGACTGTATGCTTGGGGGCACTCGGAGGTGGAGGAGGAGATCGCGGAGGAGGTGGAGCTTCGGCAGTGCTCGGCCAGGCCGCGCCTCCCCGGAGGCCGAGGCCGAGGAAGAGGAGGAGGAGGAGGAAGAGGAGGAGGAGGAGGAGGAGGAGGAGGAGGACGAGGACGAGGCGGAGGAGGAGGAGAAGGAGGAGATCTCGGAGGCCGAGGCGGCGGCTGGACGCAGAGGCGCCCCCGCACCGAAGCCGAGCTCACGAGAAGGGGCGCGGCAAGCGCCGCGCGCCCGCTCTCTGCCCGCGGCCGCTTGCTCTTGGGACCCGGCAGCGGAGGAGCAACGGCGGGGCGCGTTTCCGTGGCGAGGGGATGTCACGGGGAGACACGTTCGCGGCTCCTCCTCCTCCTCCTCCTCCTCCTCCTCGTCCTCCTCCTCCTCCTCGAGGAGCGCGGGCGGATGGAAGGCCACGCTTGGCTCACGCAGCTGTTGCGTGTGAGTGCCGGAGGGCGTGCACGGCACGAGGTGGAAGTTCCTGGAGGTGCGGGGCCCGAAAGTCAGCAGACCAAGGTCCAGGGCGCTGAAAGAACCTCCAGGAGGGTGCAAGGGTAATGCATGGAACCAGGTTAAGCCTCCGCAGGTGACGTCACAACACGAAATGGATGATGACCAAAAGCCCAGGGCGACGGGTCCACCACATCGTGGCATCAAAGCAATGACGACCAGGGTCAGCAATAACTAGGACTGTACTCGGCGGACACGGGGGTCCGTGCGCAAGGATGCGCAACCCTGGGGGTACCACGACAGCGGCCACCGACGAAACGGCGGAGCTCTGCCATGTCGTTCAGCGCCTGCCACCGCGAGAGCGCCGAGCGACCGCATCGCTTTTCGGCTTCACGCTCTGCTCGAGACACACAGTAACGGAGCTCGACCACAAGAAACCTTCCACAAGAAACCCAACCCCGAAATCCCAGGACGCCCATGGATTCTTCGTGTGGGAACGTCACGTTTTCCATAAGAGAAGCATCGAAACCGAGAAACACAGGGCACCCTGGAGGCAACCAGGGTGTTTCTTAGCATGGGCCCTGCGTAATTACGCTGCCGGCCGTCGGGTGCCATCGGTCCGAGGCTGGCATGAGACGGAAGTGGCCTATCCCCCGTCCCTAGCCTGCGACAGGGATGGGACGAGGGATGGGCTGCCTCTTCGGGGGTCCCGGTCCTGTCGTTCAGATAGGGGGCCCCCCAAGGAAGCTGCGAGCTCTGGTTCACCCGTGGCCTTGTGGAGCCCCGTGCTCCGGGAAGGCATCTCCAGAGCACAAGGGAGCGGTGGGAGCAGAAGCCAGACCTGCGCGCAACGCATCGTCTAATCTGGACTCCTCCGCTCCGCTCAGCACCTCCCCACTGACGCACCCCCCTGGCAGCGCCTCCGGTGCCGCCTCTGGGGCGCTCAGCCGATCCATAAGAATAGCTGCATACACATCGGATGAGGTGTATGCAGCTATTCTCCTCCTCCTCCTCCTCCTCCTCCTCCTCCTTTCCTCCTCCTCCTCCTCCTCCTCCTCCTCCTCCTGTTCCTGTTCCTCCTCCTCCTCCTCCTCCTGCTCCTGTTCCTCCGAGGAGGTGTATGCAGCTACTCTTCGAGTCACGGGTCGCACCCTTAGTGCGGTCGAAGCCTGGCCACAGGAGCGCGAGAGCGCGAGGAGCGCCCAGGATCCTCTTCACCGAGGGGACAGTGCCCCGTGGAGATGCCCAAGACAGTCACATTGCGAGGTCGAGAGCATCAGCGCGATGATAATCGCACAACCTTACGAAGGGCCCCTCATCCAAAGCCAAGGCTGTGCCCAACACTCGCATAAACCATACGCATCACAACCGCATGTCCGTGCATCCTTATGCCATATGCGTACACGCCGAGCAGTGTGTAGGTCTGACAGCGTATAGATAAGGAAGGGTGAGGGGGAACGGCGGCAGAGGGAAGAAGAGAAGGACAATTCATTCCGCTAGCCGCTACCCGTACTTTTCCCCCGCCCTTGACCTACAACACACAAAGACAATGCACAGTGGCCTGGTAGATCCCGTAGCCGGCAGCGCAACGGAAATACCTCTCGTTCTGGTATTTGCCGTCGCAATCGGAGGAAGACCTGTAGACCATACGCATACCCTTTCAGAGGCATCTCAGTGCAAGAGAACTGCGTGGATGACGGCTGAGAGCAAAGCGTGGGGCGTGGGAGCGACTCCAACACGGTTTTGCGCCTCTGGAAAGTTCAGTTTTTGGAGAGGGCGATCGGAGAATCTCAATGACGACGGCAACGCCCACAAGCAGGTCTGGAACCTAATTGATGAATCATCGCCCAAGTCGCTGCGAATCAGCCCCCGTGTCCGCGGCCCCAAAAACGTGTGTTGACGGACCGCGTGGTGACCTCAGAACCCCCAGCGACCTCACCGCGCGGTCTGTCAGGCCCCAGTCGGGTCCTCGGAGAACGGCCCGAGCCCCAACACCGCGCGGTGACCCCGAATCCCCACTGACTCACCACGCCAGGCCTCCTCCGAATGCCTGGTCTCCCGGCCAACTCGGGCCTCCGGCGGCCGCTCGGGACGATCCGAGCATCCCCGGAACGCTCTCGGCGAGGCGCACCTGCTGAAGGGCAGTCCGAGTCTAGAAAGCCCACAAAAACTGATGAAAACGTCCGAAAACTCCAATCCCAGACATGCGACGTCCTGCCTTTTCCAATACGGCGTCCCCGGTAGACCCGGCTTGCCGGGGACCGGTTTTTCATTCGGAGTGGTCTTTTGACGGTCCCGGCGCCCTGCGAGGGCACCCAGAGGCCGAAAACGGCGGAAAACCTCCGTTCTGAATACTTCCTACGACGCGATCATGTCTCGGGGATGTGCCCGAATCGCCACTGGCTCACCACGCGGCGCGGTCACCACGCCGTCTGGGGGGCGCCGGCCGCAGCGAGGGCTTCTTCCGGGGCGCCGGCCCGCGCCGGCGGCGCGCCAGCGTGCCAAGCGGCCGAATTCGCCGCCCCCCCCCAGAGGTAAGAGAAGCATGCACATCCGCACACACACACACACACACACACACACACGCACACGCACACGCACACGCACACGCACGCACACACGCGCACGCACACACGCGCACACGCACGCACGCACGCACACGCGCACGCACGCACGCGCGCGCGCACGCACGCGCACACACACACACACACACACACACGCACGCACGCACGCACGCACGCACGCACGCACACGCACACGCACACGCACGCACGCACGCACACGCACACGCACACGCACACGCACACGCACGCGCACACGCACACGCACACGCACACGCACACGCACACGCACACGCACACGCACACGCACACGCACACGCACACGCACACGCACACGCACACGCACACGCACACGCACACGCACACGCACACGCACACGCACACGCACACGCACACGCACACGCACACGCACACGCACACCCACACGCACACGCACACACACACACACACACGCGCGCGCGCACAGGCACAAACAGCCACACGCACACGCACACGCACACGCACATGAACACGCACACGCACACGCACACGCACATACACACACACACACACACGCACACACGCACACGCACACGCACACGCACACGCACACACACAAGCAGGAACGCACGCATACCCACTGATCCTGGCTAGGCCCACCCTGGGCCCAGAATCGGTGCACACGCCCTCATGGGCCAGGGATGGGCCTGGCCAGGTTCGGTGCATGTGCACAGTTCTCTTCGCCCGACCCCCTCTCCCAGGAGAGCCCAGAATCGAATCGACAAGTCGGATCTGCAATCGAAGTGAAGCGGATCGGCGAAACTCGGCAGCCGAGTCGGGAAAAGTCGAATCGGCAAATGTCGGCAGGCTGGTAGGCCTCCATTCAGAAAATCGGAGCCCGAATCGGAATCCGAAAGCGAATCACAGAGGAAGCGGAAGCCATCGACATAGAATCGGACCGGATCGCAGGAGTCGAGACGAGCCCCAACCCGCCCCGTGCAGGCCGGGGCGCGTCTCGCCCTCTTCGCCAGCGCCCGCCTCTTGCCTGCCAGCCGGGGTCTCCCCGGAGACCGCGCCAGGGGAGAGGGCGGCCTCCCCGCCCCTGCTTAGCACAAGCGGCACCTCCCGCCACATCGTGGGGGCCCCAGGGCACACAAACAAATACACACACACACAAAGAAACAGATTCCCCACATTTTCCCATATTTGCTGGGCTTTTGTCTTCCCCCCCACTTCCCATATTTTCCCATATTTTCGGAGGAATCGACGATTCATTGTGTCTGTGTGTTTTTGTTCCCTCCCGCCACGTGAGGTGGGCGCGGCGGGCGCGGGGGGGCCCTGCGCGCCTGGACCGACACTCCGCCCGAGCTGCTGCGATCTCCCCAGCCCCGGGCGACGCGCGCCCGGGGGGCAGGACGAGCGCGCGAGGGAGCGAGCAAGCGAGCGCCATTCTGGCCATACTCCGGGCAGAGCCACGCTCGGACGTCCATTCCCTGTGTTTTTTCGGTTTCGCGCGTGTTTTTTTCGCCATTCGCCAAACGAGCAAGGATGCTCCTCGATGGTCCTCGCCGAAGGAAAAATGCACACGTCCGAGCGATGCCAAGGGGCAGAGCCACGCCCATGCCTTGGGCGGGAGAGCCGGCATCGCGTGACCGATCCAGATCCCCATCCGGATCCGCATCCCAATCCCTTACGTGTTCGACCATGGACTCATGTTGGAGGCCTGGAAATTAGCACCAACACCAGCACAGGGGGTTGCCTCCACAGGGGGAAGATGATCCTAGATTTCGGTGTTGGTGGTAATATTTCGGCCAGCTTGGAAGCCAGAATATTACCACCATCACCGAGATCGGGATCCTCTTCCCTCGGTGGAGGCACACCGCCGATATTGGTGTTGGTGTCAACCTCTAGGCCTGCGATCATGTATTGTCCCTCGCTCCTGGTCCGTCTTCGGCGGTCTTCTGGCGGCCTTCGGCGGTCTTCTGACGTCTTCGGCGCTCTTCGGCGCGTTCCTGCGGCGTCCAGCGCGACAGCCGACAGTTGCCTGCCACAAGGGGTGCACGATCGAATACCTCGCAATATTCCCACCATCCCGCCACCCTGGCTGGGAAGATGCCCCTCGGAACCCGAGGGGAACAGCCTACGGCAGGTTCGTGTCGTGCCGACCCCAGCGTTGGTTTTTGACACCGCAGGGATTGGTTCAACCTTGAACGATCGGCCGCTGCCGCAACGTCCGATCGTTCAACATCGATCGATTCTGGGTCGCCGGCGGCGTTCAACCTTGAACGCCCGCGCTGGGGTCGCCGCTGGTCGACACGACGCAAACCTACCGTACATCCCCAGCGAGGGGCAGGAATTCAGGGGGGCGAGCCGGCCTCTGGGACCCGGGCCTCCGCAGGATCGGGGTCGGTGCAACGATGCGGGGACGAGCAGAGCCTCGTCTCCCGACTGCAGACGCTGTGGAAGGTCTCGTGTCGCCGTCGCGAGCTGGTCCTCCATGAGCCGCCATCGTGAGACGTTGACTGCCACGCGTGTCCAGGTTACACTCGGACCCAGGCCAGAAGAGCATCCTTCAGGAACACGAGGCCCTCTGCTGGCCAGAAAACACAGAACATCCGAGGGTACCCTCCCCAGGGTGCAAAGGAGCATCCAACCAACACAAAGAACATTAGCGTACCCTCCCCGAACCGACCTCGATCTTACACCCCGGTCCGGCTGTATGCCGTGACAGGGGGAGGACGAGAGGAGGGAGGACACTGCCTGGCCCAGCGGGACAGGCGCGGATCGGGCGGGCGGCAGCGGGGGAGGAGCAATACACGAGAGGGGTGAATCGAAGCGGAGCGAGCGCCAGAGTCGCGCGCGCGCTCCTCTGGAGCCATCGGGGCACGGCGTGGAGGCAAGGGCCTCCGGAGTGTGATGCGCAGGCGCACTCCCAGAGAGGGGGCTCGAGAGTGGCGGGAGCAGGTGCCTGGATGAGGGGGCGGAGACTGCAAGAAAGCGGCCCTGGAAGGGGCCGCAAACGGCCGTTAAGACTGCCACCGCGGACCGAAAAGTTGCTGGGAAGATGCGCGAGTCTTCATCCCGTGTGAAATGTCGCCCGGGCAGATGGAGGAGGTCCGAGACAGGAAAAACAACATGGTCCGTTCGCTCGAAAGCGTCGGGTTCGTGCTCGTTGATCTGGCAGGCCAACGTGTGGAGAGCATTGATATCGCTCTCCCTTCGAAGAACTGACGTCGTATCAAACCACGCAGCCCATGATTTCGTAGGAGACCTTCACATAGGGGGCGCACGCACTTTCGAGATGAACGCAAAAACAACTGCACAGACATTAGCGCCCAAAATCCGGAGCCAATTTCTTAGATCGTCGCTGATCCCCCTGGCGGCGCCGTCGCTGGCGCGGTCCGCGCACCAAGGAAGGGCATAAAACACCGACCGACTAGAAATCCGCGCAACCCTCCGAAAATGCATGTTTACGCACATCCTCCATGGCGAATGATGGGCGGCTGGTCGTATCACCATGCGGTCGAAACGTGGACACATGAACGCGGGGCACGCCCAAGATAACCTTCGCCGAAGGAAAACGGTTGAGAAGGACCGAAGTGCAACGCCGATCCAGATGATCCGCGCGGACCTTAGAACTACGCAAGCGTCACTTCTCCGGCCCGCTTTCGACGATCCTCAACCCGCGTGTGAGCACCAACGTGCGTTGAGCGGCGAAGCCCACCGATACGGCGCAAACGGTGTAATTATCCCATCGGTAGAAGTGCACGGTGTCGTCGTCGTTGTCGTCGTCGTCGGCCCCTCACCCGTGGCGCGCGGAGCACGCCAGAGGGCGGCGCCGGAGCACCAAAGGAGGGCCCACTGCCGATCGAAGAAGTCCGCGCGGACATCCGCACATTCGTGTTCATGCCATTGTCCCTTCCTCGGCAAATCTGGCTTCGGATCCCGCCGCACTTTGGGCGATGCCATTTTTAAGATTGCTTTACCGTCGCGGTTCCCGACGTACCTCTTGCGTGAAAAAAACGCCCCTTCGCTTCTGAGGCGGGGGGGTCCGCCGTACTTTTTCGCATCGATCTGGGCGCACTGCCGACGCCGTACCGTCAGCCGGAACTTGAACCGATGTGCAGCGGGATCCGAAGTCATGGAGGATTCTCGCCGCTTCATCCGGGCGGTGGCCAACCTCTTCTCGTCCAGCCTGATGCCGACAACGACGTCTCCGCCTGCGGGTGCCGCAGGGGCAGAAAAGGGACCCATACCAGGGGTGGATGGCAAATGGCGTTGCTGCGGCAAAAAAAGCCCTGGACAGCCCTGCGCAACTACGGCGGAAGGCACGGTGGGGGTCACGATGGGGTGCCATGTTCAAGTTTCGGGATCGGAATTTCGATCGGTGTACAGGGCTATGGGGCTAGAAATATGGGGGATATAGGGTGGGGGCTAGAAATTCACGGGGTAAACATAGGATTGGCGGCGCAAGGAAGAGAGAAAGAGAGACAGAGAGAGAGAGAGAGAAAAAAGAGAGAGAGAGAGAGAGAGAGAAACATATAGTGGATAAAGGTCGATTGATCGACAAACGGAGGCAATCGGGGACAACGGGATACAGTGCGAGACAGCGTCGCCCAACCGATTCCGGATCCGGCAGGGAGACAACGGGAGACAACGGGAGGCAACGGGAGGCGACGTCCAGCCTGATGCCGACGACGACGTCCCCGCCTGCGGGCGCTGCAGGGGCTGCGGCCGCACGAGGGGCGCACGACAAGCACCAGAGCACATGTGACAGCACACGTATCAAAGCAGGCGTGTTGCTGCCAAGAGGCGCGACGGAAGAAAAGAGTGGAGGAGGAGGACAACGAAGAGGAGGAGGAGGAGGAGGAGGAGGAGGAGGAGGAGGAGGAGGAGGAGGACAAGGACGAACAGGATGAGGAGGATGAGGAGGAGGAGGAGGAGGAGGGGGAGGAGGAGGATGGCCGCGAGTCGGAGGGGGCGCGTCGTGCCGCGCCCGCTCCCGCCCGCGCCACCGCCCCGAGGGACAGGCGACGAGGGGCCCCGAAGCCGCGGGACGCACGCACAGGCACTGCGCATAGTGTCCGCGCGTGCAGCCCCGCCGCTCAGGCCCGAGGGCCAGGCGGACCGCGGCACCCCAGGAGGACGGGCGGGGGCCACCGCGGGGCCCCCCCGACAGGACGCCGAGGCGGATCCAGCGGGGCGGGGAGGGCTGCTGGGCAGACCTGGCCCGCCTTCCCCGCCCCCACCACGCGTCGCGCCCGCGCGGCAGGCCGCGAGGAGGTGGAGGAGGAGGAGGAGGAGGAGGAGGAGGAGGAGGAGGAGGAGGAGGAGGAGGAGGAGGAGGAAGAGGAGGAGGAGGAGGAGGAGGAGGAGGAGGAGGAGGAGGAGAAGGAGGAGGAGGAGGAGGAGGAGGAGGAGGAGGAGGAGGGCCACCCTTCGTCCCCGCCGTTCGCCTTCCCATCTGGCTTTCTCCAGACCCGGGAGAGGAGGCCTCTGCCCCCTCCCCCCTCGGCGCGCATCCATCGGCGTCCTGCGTTTGTTTCCGCCGCGCGCCCCCAAGCGGCGAAGGCCGCCGGGGGGGGGGCGGAGAGGGGGGCAGCGCTGCGGTCGACCACAATGCCCGCGTCGAGTCAGGTCGACGTGGAACGGGGCGGCGTGGACGCCACGACGAGGTCATATCACAGCAAGCCTTTCCCTGAGCACCACGGACACCGCGACGTTGAGGCCGAGCGTCACACGACAAATAACTTAGGAATGATCCATTGCGAAACAGAATGACTGTTCACCTTATTGCGCAACCAAAACTCCCAGGAATGTGAAAATATCACGCCTGTGCAACCCACGGCGACGCTCGTGTTCATCCAGCCGAGAAAACCCGACTGCCAAGAGACGGACAACATATACACGTTTGAGGCCACCAAGTGCGCAACAAACTAGAATCATGCCGATGTTATGATGCAAGTAGGCGGGTCCAGCAAAATACCATCCAGAAAACGCCACGATCTCGAACGGCCAGCATAGCCGGCGACGAAGAATGTGACAACGTTGAACAACGATTGCCTACCAGCACGATGAACGCCAGGAGCCACAACATGGCATCACTGGTGCGGGTACTCCGCGCCGGCAGGAGGCATGACAGGCGTTCCCCGTAGCGAGTCCCGTGAATGTCGGCTGTGCGCCACTGCAGCAAGCACGTTCGAAAGGCCCGCGATGGCACTCCAATCGGTCCGCTGCCCCGTCGTCACCGCGGTCCGCGGCGCTCTCCGCAATGCCTCCATGTCGCCGATCACCGAGAAGCTCCTCGCGCGCCGCGCTGCCCTCCCAGCCCGCCGCGGCGGCCAGCGGTTGGGCAGTCGTCCCCCGAAGAGGCCTTAGGTCCGCGCTCTCGGCGCCAGCAGCTGCCAGCGGCACCGCAGCGGTGGCACCACCGCGCTCCAGACAACCGCCCTCCCCACAGACGGGCGGGACGGGGCCGGCCTCGGGATCGCGACCACCTCCACGAGCAGCACGAGGGTCCGCCAAGAGGCGATCGGCTTGGCCGAGTCGGCTGGTCCGCCGCCGCCGCAGGGGCGGGGGGGCGGCACGCCTGGCGGGCGGACGGGGTGGTCGCGGTGCCGCCGAGGCAGGCTGCAGAGGCAGCCGAGGTGGCTCCGCCCCACGGCGCGCGCCGCCAAGCCGCGCCGCCGAGCTCGTCCACCTCCGTCCTCTCGGGCGCCCTCTTTCCTCGGCGGCTGCTGCGACCCCCGCCGCGGGCGTGCAGGGCTCGCCGACTACAGGCGGCGAGCCTCCGCGGCCGCCTGCCCCGCTGCCGCCGGGCGCGGGCCGGCGCAGAGCCTCCAACCACGAAGCCCTGGCCGCTCCGAAGTGGAAGATCGCCGCGCCACGATGGCTGGCGACCTCCGCGACAGCGCCGAAGAAGCGCGAGTTAGCAGGGGGACGCGGGTCCTGGACCCTGGGGCCTTCCCCCAGGACCGAATCTCCCTTGCGGATCGTAGTCTCACAGTCCTGGGACCCGTGGAGGGCTCCGAGAGCACGAAGACGGCGAAAAACTGAGGAGCAGCTTCCCGCAGGACCCGCTCCTCCCATACCGAGCGAGGCAGCCCCCCGGCGCCCGCCCGCTGGCATGCCGCCGCGCGGTTTGGACGCCGGCGCGGCGCCGCGGCCGCAGGCGCCAACATCACGGCCCGCTGGGGAAGGGGAGGAGGCAGAGGCGAAGCGAGGGGCCCCGCGGCGCGGGCTCGGCGGGACGAGCGGAGGGCGCTGGCGTTTCGAGCCGAAGGAAAGGAGGAGGAGGCGGAGGACCAGTGTAAACCCAAGAATCACAAACGATGGGACGCACAGAGACATACTAGTACTATACGTCCTCCTTGGAGGCGCGCGTCCGACCCGAACATCTAGTATACCCATCTTGTAGTATATCGTTTCCCGAGCGGTGTGGCCAGAAAGCGCCCGCCACGACGCATATACTATAAGATTTCTCGGTGCGCGCGTCGCCCCTGGGGGGGCGACGCACATATAGTATAAGTATGTTGGGGTGTTGCCGAAACGATGTTGTCGTGAACCCCTACTCCGAGCTCCTTCTACACAGGCCCGTAAAGGGGCTCATTTCCACTGAGGGAACTCGTTGGAAGACAACCGTTTGAAGACCCTGACGCATGCCATACAATATTCTCGGGACCCCCAACGCCACAAAGCAACTTGATTGCGTCTTGACGACCCTGAACTGTGCCAGAACGCCATTCCTGTGATTTCGACACTGCGAATCAACGTAACTGTTGCACCCTCATAATGCTGAATCTTTCCACAACGCCATTTCTGGTACGCTGATCATGGAAATCCGTGAAACTCTTGCGACTGTTTAATGCGAATGTGCGCGGCGCTAAATCGAGAATCACATTTTGACAACGACCCGCCCTCAATCCGTGAAACTATTGCATGGTTTAAAACGATTGCGCGCTGCGCGCAAAGCGAAGGCGACATGTTGAAAACGACCCGCCCTCAATCCGTGAAGCCCTTGCACCTTTTTAGAACGAATGCGCACGGCGCTACGGCGAGACCCACATTTTGGAAACGACCCGCCCTCATTCCGTGAAACTCTTGCAAATTGTAGAAGGAATATGCGCGGCGCTAAGGCGAGAACCACATTTTGAAATCAACCCGCCAGCAATCCGTGAAACTCCTCCAAATGTTTAAAACGAATGTGCGCGGCACCAAGGCGAGAACCACATTTGAAAACCACCCGCCCTCAATCCGTGAAACCATTGTAAGTTGTTAACATGAATGCGCGCGGCACTGAAACGAGAACCGCATTTTGAAAACGACCCGTCCTCCATCAGTGAAACTGTTGCCAATGTTTAAGCTTCAGGGTCATAGGTGGTGAGGAAGTCTGAAGCGAAACGCCTAGCCCGCCACAAAAACTGGCCTCAGGTGCGACAGGGAGAAGCTTAAGGAGAAGGAATGGAGGAGGAGGAGGAGGAGGAGGAGGATGAGTTTTTTTTTTTGCTCCACAGGCCATACGCACGCGGCTCTGGCCGGTCACCCTCCAGGTGGGGTGGCCTGACGGTGCCAGGGCGCGCCGAGTAGGCGGGGGCCCAGGGCAGAGACCGCCAGGCGAGTGGCCCCTCACAAGCCCGCAGCACCACCGATGGCGGTGGGGGCTTGGACGGGGGCCAGAGGACAGGGGTCAGGTGACGAGGGAGCGGGCGCCCTTGCCCCTCGCCTTGCCCTCGTACTTGCCCTTGTCCTTGCCCATGCCCATGGAGGTGCGCACGTTGCCGTCCGTCCTACCCTCGGTGGCATTCTCGTGGGCCATGGTGAGGCGCGTGGCAGTCCAGCCGTACTCCGAAGTCTTGAGCACGCAGTGGGTGTCTGCCACGCGTGAAAAGAGGTTGTCGGCTGCAGCCGACCCGTCGTACTCCGAGGTCTTGAGCACAACCTTGTCGCCCAGCACATCGTTGGTGGACGACGTACGTGGCTGGATGTCTAGCTCCTTCTGCTTGCCGTCGATCTCGTGTGAGTCGTCGGTGATGCTCGCGGCCGTGGAGGCCGCCTTGATGTCCGTCTCGATCTTCTCGGTGAGGCCTACCGCGAAGAAGTGCTTGTCAAGCAGCTTCTCCTCCTGCAAGGGGGCGGGCTTGTAGGCCGCATTGCAGGTCTCCTCCGTGGCCGTCCTCAGCTCCTTCTGCTTGCCCTCGAACTCGTGAGAGCCGTCGGCGAG